CGGACGTACGCGTAAACTCATACCCCCACCGTGGTACAAGGGGGGGGGGGTGGGGTTTTTGCTGGGACCCCTCCCTAGATTTTTTGTTATGTTGCAGTATTTCGAAACGATTTTGCCTTTAGTGGATGGTGGCGCTGCTGGAGGCCTGTGACGTCACCAACAATGGTCGTAATCTTTGCTGTAAACTTGGATTTTACCAAGAACTAGAAATCAGGTTACAATCGCGTTTAATGGCAATTTTTGTGCTTCACATGTAAAATAACACATAAATAAGCACTTTGTATCATTTCATCCACAATTTTTACTTTTAATTAATTGTTGATAAAAGTTGAAAAACATCTATTTTCACTCAAAAATGGCTTGACCACCTGTTACTTATGATGTCATATCTCGTACCATAGTGACTGACCATCACTAAACTTGTCTCAAAACTCGCGCGAGGGATAAACGAACAGCTACTGAAAACGTCAGGTGCTGATGCTTGATCATTTAGGAGAAAAATAATAAAAAAAAACTTCAGATGCCAACCATCAGCCCCCTACCCCTTGTACGTCCAAGGTTTAAGAACCTTTTTTGTATAATCATTACGTTATTTGCATAAGATTACAATCACTTCATTAGTATATTCTTTAAAAATGTTAGCTTTTGATGATCTTACAGTCATCCAATAATGTTGATGGGCGTCCCCAAAATTTCGACTCTTAAGCAAGGAAACCCACGGTAAGAATTTATATAAAACCGGACGAATCTGGCCTTGACGTAGTTCTTGAGTACATTTTTGACGATGCTAGTTCTATCTCTGTTTCCTGAGAACACCTGGAAATGAAGAAAGCCAACTATTACTCTAGTTTTCAGCAATTAATTAAACACCTTAGAAACGTGGAAATCGACGCAAAACAAGTTACATTTACCTTAGCGTCATCTAAATTCAAAGGGTATAGACCTGTAAACGATACTAATGCTTATTTCAACCCAATACAATTAAAGCAAAACTTCGACAGGCTAAGTATAGTTCACAGGCTGCCCAAGCTCGATAATTGACCGTTTAAACAACACATTTTAAGGTACATTAACCAATTCACGTAGGAACAAAGATGTGACTCTTTTATTAATGGATCCACCCTGTGAGTCCTTAAGTATGATGGATCCTCCCTTAACCTTGATCAGTGCCTTGATTGTGCGTGACGGATGTTTCGAACTCAGCTATAAATGAGAATGCGTATAATTTTATCTGATCTTGTTTACCCTTTAATGGCCAATGAGATGGGGCCTGAAATGGGGAATTTGCTAAGCCTTACGGCTGTGTTGTTTCATGGTTATTATTCCGTGGTGTATTGTGAAAGGAACAGTGATTTGATGAACTAGGTTCGGTCACATGTTTCAATTTAAAGAATTCTCAAATGCAGTGATTGGGCCTTTCTTTTGGGAAAATTTTCGCTCTAATATCGTTACTTATTGAGCAAACAGAGAGAGGGCTAGATCAAAGGCTAAATCGAAAGGCCTTCTGCTGAGAGTTTCTAAGAGGATACATATTTCTTGAACTTAAAATAAAGTTTACTCCTGGATCAAGGTCATCAATTCTTAGGCTCTTTAATCTAAATTAAATTTACCCTCCGCCTTTCATAGAATCCTTGAATTGCAAGAGAGCTGAAGAGTGGAAATTTATAGGCGGTTACTGCAATAATATCATGGGTAACGAATTACTCTTTAATTTTTAAATTTCAGCAATAATTTGTAATTTCACATGTGAAATTACAAAATTGCCGTGGCAACCTTCCGTACGTCTCAGTGTCAAGATGGCGACGAAGTTTTAAAATGTCATGAATAAGGATGCCAGGGTATAAAAAGACGCTTTAGAAAACCTGAACACACGAAAGAGCACATCAAGAAGGATTCTAACAGGTATTTTGTCAAAAACTCAGAACTTAAGCCAAATTTAAGCTCTAAACGTTCGAGAGAGTGCATGGAGTTCTCCATCAATACGATCCAGGATAAACATGTCAAAAATCTAAGATTGCTAACGTAATTCGTCACCCATGATATTAATAGGTAATCAAATGGTATACTCGTGAAATTAGGGAATAATTTCACTTGCGTTTTGTCCAAATCCTAATAAATTATAAGGATTTGGAAAAAACGCGCGTGAATTGAAATTATTCCCTAATTTCACTCGTCACCATTTGATTACACATACTAACTTAACAATTTTTTTCCTGTATCTGGCTGATAATAACATTTTAGATCCAAATCACCAAAAAATCTAATTTGCTCACCTTTTCGACGTTGTTTTCATAATAAGAGTTCCAGATGATTCCATCTAAAGAAAAACGTAATATGTAAGCAGTGACCCACTCATAGTCTGCTGCTCGTCCTTGCGTTTCCACTGCACATACATAGTACACTGTACCCATATCCACCTGGAGATACTCTGAATTGTTTCTACTTTTCGGACACCACGCCCCNTCAATACGATCCAGGATAAACATGTCAAAAATCTAAGATTGCTAACGTAATTCGTCACCCATGATATTAATAGGTAATCAAATGGTATACTCGTGAAATTAGGGAATAATTTCACTTGCGTTTTGTCCAAATCCTAATAAATTATAAGGATTTGGAAAAAACGCGCGTGAATTGAAATTATTCCCTAATTTCACTCGTCACCATTTGATTACACATACTAACTTAACAATTTTTTTCCTGTATCTGGCTGATAATAACATTTTAGATCCAAATCACCAAAAAATCTAATTTGCTCACCTTTTCGACGTTGTTTTCATAATAAGAGTTCCAGATGATTCCATCTAAAGAAAAACGTAATATGTAAGCAGTGACCCACTCATAGTCTGCTGCTCGTCCTTGCGTTTCCACTGCACATACATAGTACACTGTACCCATATCCACCTGGAGATACTCTGAATTGTTTCTACTTTTCGGACACCACGCCCCGTTTTGCCTGGTTTCATTCAGTCGACCGTAGTGTGGTAGCTCTGATATTCGATAACTTGAACTTGCCGTCATTCTGTTATCTGGAATCTTGTTGGTGTCCATTATCCCAACAGGGGGACATGCTGAAAAAACTAATCACAAGAAAAAACAACACGGCTGAATTCGACAAGATGCGGTGATCATAACTTTTTCAGGCACCTCACTATTTAAGTATTTTTCGCTGTATGGTTACTTTTTAGGGATAAAATTGGTGAAATTTGGGTTCTGCTTCTAATTCAGCAATGTCATAAGTACGTCACATTACTTTTTAGGGATAAAATTGGTGAAATTTGGGTTCTGCTTCTAATTCAGCAATGTCATAAGTACGTCACATTGCGTTAATTGTATCAAGACGTTGGAAATGATGAATATCTTATGTGCAATTTTGCTGGCCGTATCATGATCGGTTTCAAAGTGATAGAGGGGCGCCTCGAGCCTGTTCACAGACGCCCCCTCCCCTCATAAAAATCGGGCAGAAAGACGTCTGTGTCATGCCGACATAAATCGTGTTTCGGTATACATTTGTACAAATTATTTCTTTGTTTTTCCTTTAACAGTTGAAAAGGTGTCGACGGACCAACAAGACTGTTGCACAGCACGCACGCATTTTTTTTTTTCAATCTTTATAGGCTTTTATTAGAAAGCGGCTGTAAATAGAATATCTAGCTAAAATGTCAATTATATGTCTAGGACTTTTTTTCTTTACAAAAATGGGTACATAATGCTTCGAAAAATTCTGACACATGTTCTTTCGTCTGGGAAGTCATGAAGCCCGTCTGTTTCCTGTACATCGATGTCCTGTGGTTTCTGGTTCTGATCTCGGAAGCAGTTTATAGGTTCGATTTTCCAAAAAGCGGCTAGTATTCCAGACTAAAGCGGTTTATCAAAGTTTACATATCCAAAGAATCGAATAGTTCATTTCTATTCATTTAAAATTAGAGCAATTCTGTCTTTTCTCTAATATTTACCAGAAATGAACGGAACAAACAAGCCGATTTTTTTAACTTCCACGCTGAAATCTAGTTTTAAGATCTCTGACTAAGAGTGATCAGTAAGCGTTGAATTCGTTACTTCCTTCTCTTTACGTCCTTTTCGGTAAAGAACATATGTACCCACAATTTGTGCAGCAGTAAGATGTCCGCAAAGGCTGAGGTTTTTCTCGGGGAGTTCATTCACCAGTCACAACACCGAATTAAAACAACTTACGGTCCCAGCATTAACATGACAACCAATCAGAGGCTTTCCCCGCGATGCATCCTTCGAAAATCAGAACACTATTAGCATCGGCGTGAGAGACGTCTCTCTCCCCGGTTTTTTTTTTTTTTTTTTTGAGGGAAGGGGGCATCTCCACACAGGCTAAGGAGCCTCCGACGTCCCCCGCTCGTAGAAAGCTAGGAAAGGAGAAAGTATTTTGGCAATGGCGTCAACCTATTTTTTTTTTATTCCGAGTGACGATAAGTTAAATTGTTCATACAACTGATAAGTGTTGTCTTATTATCGAATCGAACGCAGATTTTTGAAATATGGTCAGGAAACGAGCAGCGGCCTTTCAAATTTGAAACAACCAAGAAAGTTGGAAGTTCAGGGCTTGTAAGGTAAAAAATAACTATTTTTAAACATGGATTTACATGGAACTGGTATGGTTATTGATCTGTTGTGTACTTATTGAACTGCTGTGTGGTTATTGAACTAACAAAAAGGAAAACTACAATATTCCTAATGTTAATTTACCTAAAAATTATTTTTACGACCATGAAATGACACTAACTGTTGTTTTGACTCTAAGAAGTATTGGACAAAATAAAATAATTAAAACTTACCTAAGCAATTTGGAACAGGGGAACTCCAACTCCTATTAGCTTGACAATGCATAACATCAGTCCCCACTAGAGTGTAATTCTTGTCACAAACAAACTTGACTGATCCACCATAGACGTAGCCTTTCTTGACAATCTGCTTTCCATTGATGGGTTTTCCAGGATCACCGCACTCAACAGCTATAATAATAATAATTGCAGAGAAACTAAGTCCTTAACCGTTTGACGACGGCTTTGGTAGTTTTCGTTCATATGGAACTGCATATTTTTCTTCCTGGACCAAGTTAGCCTTCAGTTTAA